TCAACTACCCCAACGACACCCGAATCTTTCAACTACCCCAACGACACCCGAATCTTTCAACTACCCCAACGACACCCCGAATTTTTCGCAGACACGTGAATTTTGTAATGATTCAATTGGTTGTGCTTAAGACATGAATTTAGTTTTAACAGAATATAAATTCAAATTTTGCCGATAACATTTATTTCATTTGAATAGTTTGACATCAGCTTTATTTTATACAAATAAAAATAGCGTAACTATTACTAAACTTGACATATTCATGAGAAATTAATAATTCTTCGATAGAAATTACAAAGACTTCGTTTTCTCAAAGTAACATCAAAACACCAAATACTTTATTTTTTTGCATGTAACCACCATTTTCACTGATTGTATTTTTTATTTATTTGGATCATCTTCAAAATCTTCAAGAGAAATATTGCTTATTTTAATAATTATATTAAATAACGATAGTTGTCGCCATCTCTTTCAAAGATATTCTGTGTTTTTTTATCAGGTTTGGTAAATAATTTATAATGAATCGAAGATTATTTTGAACATAAAAAATATGTATTATTTGAATTACAGAATTAGCGTTAAGAAACTGGCTTATATTATCGTATCTTGTACATTTTAAAAATCCAAAAACATCTGCGTATTTATTTTAAGGAAAAATACATATAGATATTGAGAATTAAAAATTATTTGTTTATAATCACCCATCATAATTAGATTTCTATTCATGTGATTTCAGGGTCGCCAATGGTACTTCAAAATCAGGCATGCCATGGCATAGAAAGACTTTTATATGATTAGCTGTTTAAATCAACTTAATTTTATACGTATTATTTATACAGTTTAATAAAGTACTTTTTAAGAAAAAATCAAACTACAAAGAAAAAAAAAGTATAAAGTTTATTAAGGCCATATGACTCCACTATTAAAAATAATCAAAATCCCTTTTTGTTAGCATAATAAATAGATAAAATTGGGTTATCATGCTAACTTCTTCAAGATAAAAGATGATTTTGATTATTTCTTTCTATATATATATATATATATAATTTCTTTCTATATATATATATATATATAATTTTTTTTTAGTTATTTTTTGATTTTTTTTTTTTTAAACTGTATAAATTAAATTATTTAAACAGCAACTAGTATTACTTTTGTTGCAAATTTTATACGTAGCAACTAGGGTTGTAACACGTAAAAAATTTGACAATTATAAAAAAGTCATCACAAAATCGTAATGCAATATAATATCGTAATATCGTAATGCTGTAATATAAATTATGTAATTACAATCTAAGTCTTATATCGTAAGATTATAATATATAAAATAAACTAATTTAAAATTATACGTACGTAATCTACATTCCAAAATTAGTTTTTGATATGAAGTGCAACTCGAACCGGATACAGAATGATAACTGACCAATCAAAATGGTATATTTATCACGTGGTTTAGTGGTATCCTGGATACGTATAAAAAATACGTATTAACGTTAATGGCATGCCATTAAAAAATATTTGCGCCAACAACCCAATTGTTGGGCGACATCATTAAAATGAAGTCTATTAATTCATCCAACAACTACTGTATCCTCAACTGTAAAATCCGTATTTAAACACGCACATGCTTGCGATGAAAATTTTTATACAAGGATTTGCGCTTACAATATAATGTTAATATGTCGTGGCGCTCAATTATTTTGTCATACTTTGGGTTAATACTCGTTTTGATGGTTTTATTGACCATAGGTTTGAGTCTTAAACCATTGCAACTTGAGAGTACTTTCATACCATCTTATGAAAATAAATTACCCATACCGAGTAAGAATTATAGCATGTTAAGTTTAAATATACGGAATTTATATTTTTCTAACATGAAATTGCAATCGATCAGATATCTATTTTTCGGATCATCCATACATTTTTAATGTTTCTTGTTACTTATACAGCTATGGATGTATGTTATTTCATCTAGTTTATTATTTATTATTATTATTTATTATTATTATTGTATACTTACATCTACATTTATAACTCAAAGCATTGAAAAGCTGCCAACAATATATTACAGAGGACACCACATTTTCTAGGATTTTTGCTCCATCAGGGTCACTTGTATTCACATCACAGCATAGTAGTAGCAGAGATTTTGTTCTTCTTGGGATAAACATCACGGATCCTACTTATGTTACTACTACTTCTTTTGATCGGCTTTATATTACTGTACGAGATACTGGTAAGCTTACAATTGACGACCGATCTTGATCATTCTTAATTCAGTATTTTTAACAATAAAATTATAGAATTTGTTAAACAAAGAATTCCTCCAGAATTAATGCAATTTAATATTACTTCATCCATTGATTTCAATAATCAACACTATTTACATGTATGTATCATATAATTATTTGAAAAAATTTTGCATATATTCACAATTGTTTTATAATTTAATAGATAAAATCCGAAGTGAAGAAATCTTTACTGAGATATTCCAAAAAAGTTAAAAAAATAATGATTCCTTCAGTTTTAAATATTATTGGTTTTACACCGAATTATTATGATGATATACATTATCTTGAATCGAGATTATGTAAAAATTTCTTATTTTTAAAATTATTATTTTATAATTTGATTATTTTATTTTAATATATTATTAAACGATTATAGATAGTTGTAATAAGGAATATTGTCCAGATGTAACCCCCACTCAAGACAGTTACAATTATTTACTGTATATTTATCCAGAAGTTTTCTATATCGAAGAGGAGAAGCAGCAAAGGTAAAACTACACAATTTAATCTGTTATTATTTATTATACATTTCTGCTAATGTATAATTTATACTCATAGATCTATTACCGTAAGTAAAAATTACTTAGTTTTAAGCTTGTTTTGTATCATATATTAAAATTATTACTTGCGTTACAGGTTTTGTCTATACTAAAAAGTAGAGAATGTATTTACACAATTGTATATAGCTTTTATTTTTCGTTATTCAATGTGAGCAATTTTATTTTGCTACCATTTATGAGGTTTTGTTCACCTTTGCTTGATCTTCTAGTATTATTATTTTCTTATCATTATTTATCACTTTCTTTTGATTCATTACTATTATTAAAAAAAGGAATAATAATAATAATAATAATAACATTACTTTTATTATTATTAAAATATTTGTTCATTTATTTGCGAAAATTATATTTAAATATATCTTTATCATCATTAAATTTAAAATTAGTTTTATCATCCTTATTATTATTAATTATTTCTATTTTTTTAATTATGTTTATAATTTTTATTATATTTATTGTCTGTATTTTAACACTTTATTTTCAAAGTCTATTCTTTTCTGTACATACATTTTATGATACATTATATGATACATTATATGATTTTTTTTGGCCTAAATTGTCTTATCATATTTCTGTTAATAAGTCCTATTTACAACCTTTATTAATTTTTCTTGATGAACTTGTAATGTTAACGTAAAAGATAGTTAATATAAAAAATTTGTTGTTTATAAAACTTATGTATAATTAAAATAAGAATATTTATAATTTAGAGTATTCTACGTAATTTTCACAGGGTGCTATATCTCAAATGTTCAGAACCCTCAAAAACCTTATGCAAACTAAAATTGGGTCCTAATATCTAACCCTAAGCTTCGTCTAAAATTACACCCTAACCAAAATTTTAATAATAATTAAGGGAAGGGAATTTCCCCTTCGGCTAAATGTAGTTATTTTCTATAATTTATACCGGAATGAGTCAAGTGTACTAAGTAGAACTCCTTAAAACTTGTGTACTCTAAAATTTGAACCATTATACCTGATCCCTATTTGAAATTAAACTGCACCCTAACCCTAAATTTTAGTAAAAAAAACATTTTTTATTATTAGTATAAAGATTTTTTTTTCTTAAAATAAATTCAATATAAAAAATAAAGTATTAATATTGTTATTTTTGACCGGTGATGAGTTTCACCGGAGCGTTATATCCCAAAGCCTGCTAGCTAACTCAAATTAGAAGTACTTACCAAGAAAATTTCTAAGTTTACACATAATGTATTGTACATGGGTTTTATTGTCGCGGCTGATGCTGTAATTGACTGATGCGAAAATATAAACCCTGCTAAAATCCACATATACACTTTAATCATCAATTCTAGCCCAAATCCTAACCCAACTCTAAAAAAAATACATCCCAAAAATTTTTAAAATTTTATATCAAAATAGATCCAAAGTTCAGCATCAGCCGCGATATTTATTGTATATTTGTATAACTATAATTTAAAAAAGAAAAGTAAACTTTACTTAAGTTTTGATAATTTATGCTAAAATTTTACGAGGAGTTTTTTAAGAAAATTTATGCTAAAATTTTACGAGGAGTTTTTTAAGAAAATTTATTAGTTTACGTATACACGGGTATAATTTATTGAATTACATATTCGTACGACATACTAATCAAAACAATTTTTACAAACGAAAAATTAAACCCTCACTTATGGTTAGGGTAAGGGTGGGTTTGGGATCGAGCAAGGTATAGCTTATACCAAAATTTCGCAAGGAATTTTTTTTTTGTTAGAAGCCAAAGGTAGTTTCATAATCAAAATTTTGAGATATCTATATTGCCCGTGTACATACACCACGTGTACAAATAGAAATTGCCTTTTGTTAAAGCCTGAAAAGCAGTTTATAATTGATATTTTAAGATACGTATAAACAATATTATGTTATACTAAATCTTACATTCTGATTGATTTTCTATATAGGGTGTTCATCAAATCGGGGTTATAGGTTTTTTAATAATTTCGGAATTTTCGGAAAATTAACTTTTTTATTTAGTGATAAATGTGGAATATTGTAATACCTTTTTGAATGCAACTAAAGGTAGCGAAAAATACAATTTTTTTATGCCATATTTTTTTTAAATCGATAGCTTTTATTATGCTCTTTTTAACAATTACCTCGGTTTTACAAATTTTAATAGCTTCGTGTTCCGAATATAGTTAAAGAATTTACTACTTGTAAAATGGAATAAATCTCCCTATTACATTAAATTACACGAAGTTCTTTATCTTTTAAAAAAAATTAAATTAGTAATTATTGTTACGGATTATCGTGAAATCAGATTATCGTGAAATTTGGGGGTCTCGATTTGAAAATATAAGCCCTAC